TGATGGGGATGTTTATCAATGGCAGGGTCTGGGGAAACTTGTCACGATAGAAAGGAAGATGAATGGAGCCAAATATTGAAGAATCTTTGAGCAAAACCTGATGCTTTGAGCAAGTAGTACTAGTAGGTTGTATATATAACAATTATTAATTGCTACTTCCAAGTGTAATGACTCCAAACTTTAAGTTGTCGACTGTAAGCAACAACATGTAAAAACTGTGCAAGGATCTGAAAACTTTTGCAAAGCACTGTACATAAACACTGAAAAGGACCAAGCTTATTTATTTAAAAACTTAAAATACGTAAGATTAGCAATTTCATATAAAAAAATGAAGTAATTAGCTTTAGAAAATGATGCAAATATATTTTGATGCATGACAATTTAATACATCTGTATATTAAATTTAATTTAACAACTCTCAAACTGAATTTAATAACTCTCTGACAACTGTAAATTAAACAATTGATTCAAAGATAATTTGCATTATTTTGGTTAACACAGAAACTGTAGGCAATTTCATATGGCAGTAGTAGTTCAGGTGGGTTGCCGCGTCAGCATGTGTAGGCTGCAAAGGAACAAGTAATAGGTCTATTCCATGCTGAAAAAAAGAAGAAAAAGAACACATTTCGGCCATGGAGCCTTCTTCAGGTGGTCACATGAAGAAGGCTCCACGGCCGAAACGTTGTATTCTCTCTCTTCTATTTTTCAGTATGGAATAAACCTATTACAATTTAATATGGCACCACTTGACAGAGAAATAAAATTAAAATCTCCTACCTCCACAGTTGTTTCAAAGGAGAACAAATTTGGTGGTGCCTTAGCGATCAGAAAGTAGCGCAGCCTTGCATTTGGAATCCCAATCTATTAAAATTAAAACAGATAATCCCCATGTAGCATCAGAGTTAGGAACGAGTTAGTTAGGACTGATTTTCCCTAGAGGTATAATGGAATATCGCAAGTGTTTGTTCCAAAAGTTAAACATGTACAATGTACAGAGGAATACTGTTGTTTGTTTCAAATACAGTACATATGGGAAAGTACGTCATACATTTTTTTAACAGCAGAGATTACATAAAAAGACATTTGACAAACATCATTTAAAATTATAACTTTGTTATCATTGCTATTTCCGTATGTAACAAAGTACATTAGAAAGGAAATTGTTTTCAGAACTATTGTTACAATGATCATAAAAGCTACAATTTACACTTCTCAGGGCCTAAAAACTCCTTGGTAAATCATTAACAGTCATCATCAGTCCAGAAATAACAGGATAAGAATACCGGCAGGGAAGCAAGAGGAGTGGTATAGAGGGAGAAAAGAAAGCATGTCAGGCATGAGGACCTTATTCGGTTTAGCTTTATAAACTACATTCTAGCTATTTAAAACCTTGTTTAAGAGAGCTTGTTGTTCTTTTAGCAAAGTCTAACTTCATTTATGAGGAATTTCCAGGCTAAAGATGTTCTCTCCGGATTAGTGATGCACTTTTACAATATGGAAATATAGTAATACAGGAAGGGAGATTTAGCTTTGGATCGTATTTTGTTTTACTTAGGATTGAAGGAACCTTTGCCTGTTAGGAATTAACAATTAAGCCCTCAAGAACTGTTTTACTGTTTTGTGCATTCCCAGCTGGCCTAGGTTTCTTCAAGGTCTCTCAAGCGGAGGTGTAACTGATGTATCCTAAACTTGATACAGCAACATGAAAGCAATCTAGATTATTAGGGATTTTGGTTAATTGCCCAAGACTGACCTAACTGCATAACTTCCTGACCTTGTTGACACCTTACTATATATAGCAACAAACTATTACTGACCAACCAAAAATGCATGTGTTTGTATGAAATCTTTACTCATCTTTAAAAATAAAAGCCTGAATAAAATGAATAAAAGTCCTTAGAAAAGTGAGAAAGAGGTGAGCTCTTAGATACTTCTGTCCTCCTTTCTTTGTAGTATAAAGAAATCTCCAGATGGATTTACCAGAGTTTTGCGTTTTTTTAGAAGAGTTTAACAGGACCCAGGTTTCTCTGTTGTTGGCCTGTTTAGGCATTATATTAACCCAGTAATGTGAGCTGTTTGGGTTTCTGGGGAACATCGTAATGTAGGCCTCTTGAGATGGCTTGCCTATAATTTGTCATCTAACGTTGTGCGTTGTCTAGCTGTGCTACAGTAAATAAATGTTTGTTCTAGTTTGACTCTTATTACTTTCTCACCAGAGCTGTACAAGAGGATAAAGAACTTTGGTGCTTCAAACTATACCCACCACTCAGGAACATTTTTGGCATATCTTTGATAAGTGCGGGTCACAATTATTTAATTATATAGCTATATATTTGTATGTTTAACCCCCCTCTTCTAACACTATCATGCTGATAGTGATAGCTGGTGAACAACATGTTCACCTTTTATAATTATCCTTACTACATCTAATTTTATATCAATATTAACACAATGACACTTTTTTTGTTTTCATCACACACACTTGTTGCAGTTGTTTACAACACCAACAAAAGGCTAAGAGTGTGTGGGTGTGAGATTTAAGCAAAAAAAAAATGAAATACTAGATAATTCAATTGAAAAATACTTTATTCATGCCCAGGGGCCAATTACTTAGAACTAAAAATATATAGATAATAGCAAATGGACCATATCAATGATTGAAAGCAACTTTGTGTAAATATTTAAGAAGGTATTAAAGTACTGTATATGCTCATTTGCAGAGGGCGCTCTACTCAATAGATGTCATATTGATCAAACTTTTTTACATTCATTGTTTGCAAGCCTGATGGTCTCTGGAACAAAGATAAACCTAAATTTACTTTTATTTGTCTTGCACTGAAGAAAAGCAAAAATATCTTCCTGAAGGTAAAACTGGTCAAAAATTAGTGAAGGATGAAAGATGGCACAGGGCTTCCTCAGGATCTGCTGGGCATAAAGCTGTGTCGGGGTCTTAAAGGCTCTCCATTAATTTTAGAACTGAGGATGACAACATTTAGAAAGTGTTTTTTGACTTTCTGACTGAGTGAAGTGAAGCAATAGAAGAAGAAAAAGAAAAACATGGATGACTCAAAATGTCCTTCATCTAAACTGAACTGTGACAAGACCAAAGCCATGGTTAATGCCCCCCCCCCCCTTTAACTTTGTAAAGCCAATGCTGTAATCCTATCTGTACTTGAGATTCAGGCTAAATTCAGACTAAAACATGGGGGTGATATTTGATTCAGGCTTGGCATTCGACCCACATGTGCAAAATATTGTCAAAACATCATTCTTTCACCTCAGAAATATTGCCAGACTACATTCTATGCTATCTCTTAATGTTGTTGAAAAGCTAATCAACATATTTGTCTTCTCCTGAATTAACTACTGAAATGCTCTTCTCGTCAGGGTTTTAAAATCCACATTGAAACTAGATCCACATTGAACAAACACTTAAGTGTTCTGCCACATATTCCATCTGGACCTGCTGCTATAGATAGAT